TGCAGGAGACCTGCATGGCGTTGGCGATCTATTGATCATTGGTGCAATGCTTTCCAGCCTCCTGCGGACAAAAATAATAAAAGCACATTTTTTACCCGCAAAAAATTGGCATTATTTTTATTCCAAAAGGTGAACTTATCCTTTAAGATGAAGGCCTCCAGCAGCATGCTGTCACTGCTGCAAAGACTCCCATCTTCACCCGGTCTGCCTTCGGGGTTCACTGGCTGCGGCCGCAATGACATCACAGCCGCAACACAGAGCTCTGAAGGAACTGCAAGGGTATGTCATTCCTTCAGAGTGCATGCGCTGGTGATGTCAGTGGCTACTGCTCCCTAGAATACCTTCTACACAGTGAACCTTTAGGAGATATTCATTTAACCTACAGCTAAGCTTTTTTTTTTTTTTTTTTTTTTTATAACCTTACCTGTAGGTTAAAATAAAAACCACTTTAACTTCCCCGGCGGTCTGATTATATCAATGTTTTTGAATATCAAAGCAGTTCATTGTTTTGCATGGAAATTTCAGTGTCCGATGACGAATCGCTATCGCTCAATTCTGCAAGTGGTTCATAATTCATTATGGCTGTTCTCTAGCTGGTCTAAAACCGCTTTTGACCTAAAGGGACGCTTTTTGGATGCCATGAACGTTCTCAAGTTTCCAGGCAGAAAGAACGGCAACAGTACAGGCAGGGCACAGGACAAAGCACTTGGGACAAAACTGAGGGGAAATGGTTTGATACAGTAATGTCATACTAGCAGATTACAATGTATTGTGTGTATGTCATGTTTTTACTTTTTGAATCACCCGCTGGTTCCACCCCCCCGCGTCGCGGCGCTCGCAGGGAATGGAACCTGGAAGACGGATGCTGGCATTGGCTGGAGGACACAGTGGGAAGACACAGTGGGTGGACAGCAGGGGGATCCCACATGAAAGAAAAATATACTTTAAATATATTTAAAACATTTCTTCCCAAATATATTGCCATATATTTGAAATACTACAATTTTGGCCATATTCTATATATATATATATACATACATACACACATACATATGTGTGTGTCTGTAAATACACACATACACATATATATTATTATACAGGATTTATATAGTGCCAACAGTTTGCTCAGAGCTTTACAATATAACGGGAGACAATACAGTTCAATACAAGAAGGTTAGGAGGGCCCTGCTCCTTGGAGCTTACAATCTAAACACACACACACTTCTAACATTTTTGGCTCTATACACCACCACAATGGATTTGAAATGAAACAAACAAGATGTACTTTAACTGCAGACTGTCAGCTTTAATTTGAGGGTATTTACCCTCCAAATCAGGTGAACGGTGTAGGAATTACAACAGTTTGCATATGTGCCTCCCACTTGTTAAGGGACCAAAAGTAATGGGACAATTGGCTTCGCAGCTGTTCCATGGCCAGGTGTGTGTTATTCCCTCATTATCCCAATTACAATGAGCAGATAAAAGGTCCAGAGTTAATTTCAAGTGTGCTATTTGCTTTTGGAATCTGTTGCTGTCAACTCTCAAGATGAGATCCAAAGAGCTGTCACTATAAGTGAAGCAAGCCATCATTAGGCTGAAAAAACAAAACAAACCCACAGAGAGATAACAAAAACATTAGGCGTGGCCAAAACAACTGTTTGGAACATTCTTAAAAAGAAGGGACGCACCGGTGAGCTCAGCAACACCAAAAGACCTGGAAGACCACGGAAAACAACTGTGGTGGATGACCAAAGAATTCTTTCCCTGGTGAAGAAAACACCCTTCACAACAGTTGGCCAGATGAAGAACACTCTCCAGGAGGTAGGTGTATGTGTGTCAAAGTCAACAATCAAGAGAAGACTTCACCAGAGTGAATACAGAGGGTTCACCACAAGATGTAAACCATTGGTGAGCCTCAAAAACAGGAAGGCCAGATTAGAGTTTGCCAAACGACATCTAAAAAAGCCTTCACAGTTCTGGAACAACATCCTATGGACAGATGAGACCAAGATCAACTTGTACCAGAGTGATGGGAAGAGAAGAGTATGGAGAAGGAAAGGAACTGCTTATGATCCTAAGCATACCACCTCATCAGTGAAGCATGGTGGTGGTAGTGTCATGGCGTGGGCATGTATGGCTGCCAATGGAACTGGTTCTCTTGTATTTATTGATGATGTGACTGCTGACAAAAGCAGCAGGATGAATTCTGAAGTGTTTCAGGCAATATTATCTGCTCATATTCAGCCAAATGCTTCACAACTCATTGGACGCCACTTCACAGTGCAGATGACCAATGACCCAAAGCATACTGCAAAAGCGACGAAAGAGTTTTTTTAAGAGAAAGAAGTGGAATGTTATGCAATGGCCAAGTCAATCACCTGACCTGAATCCGATTGAGCATGCATTTCACTTGCTGAAGGCAAAACTGAAGGGAAAATGCCCCAAGAACAAGCAGGAACTGAAGACAGTTGCAGTAGAGGCCTGGCAGAGCATCACCAGGGATGAAACCCAGCGTCTGGTGATGTCTATGCGTTCCAGACTTCAGGCTGTAATTGACTGCAAAGGATTTGCAACCAAGTATTAAAAAGTGAAAGTTTGATTTATGATTATTATTCTGTCCCATTACTTTTGGTCCCTTAACAAGTGGGATACACATATGCAAACTGTTGTAATTCCTACACCGTTCACCTGATTTGGATGTAAATACCCTCAAATTAAAGCTGACAGTCTGCAGTTAAAGTACATCTTGTTTGTTTCATTTCAAATCCATTGTGGTGGTGTATAGAGCCAAACATGTTAGAATTGTGTCAATGTCCCAATATTTATGGACCTGACTGTATACACACACACACACTGCATGTTGAAATGCATTTATTATATATTACAAAATATCTGAAAAATATTTTAATAAATATATAAATTTTTTAAATATATTCTTCAGATTTTTTTTAACATAAAAAAGTAATTTTAACATATATTTGTAAATGCATTCCAAAAATGTAGACTAAATGTATCTTTAAAGACATATAGTCTATTTGAAAATGTATTTTTAAAAATATTTTTCATATATTTTGTAATAAAAATGCATTTCAAACAGACGGGTTTGTGCAGATAAAGGCACATTGAGGAAGATTTCTGCCAGATCCATGCATCGGATCAAGACAGCAGCTGCTAAAATACCATTACATAGCAGCAAACAGATATTTGAAGCTGCTGGTGCCTCTGGAGTCCCACGGACATCAAGGTGTAGAGTCCTCCAGAGTCTTGCAACTGTGCATAAACCTTCTATTCGGCCACCACTAACCAATGCTCACAAGCAGAAACGTCTGCATTGGGCAGAAAAATACGTGAAGACTAATTTTCAAACAGTCCTGTTCACTGATGAGTGCCGTGCAACCCTGGATGGTCCAGGCGGATGGAGTAGTGGATTGTTGGTGAACGGCCACCCTGTTCCTACAAGGCTGTGACGTCAGCAAGGCAGTGGTGGAGTCATGTTTTGGTCCGGAATCATGGGAACAGAGCTGCTCGGCCCCTTTAGGGTCCCCGAAGGTGTAAAGATGACTTCTGCAAAATATGTGGCGTTTATGACTGACCACTTTCTTCCCTGGTACAGAAGGAAGAACTATGCTTTCCGTAATAAAATCACCTTCATGCATGACAAGGCACCATCTCATGCTGCAAAGAATACCTCTGCATCAATGGCTGCTATGGGGATAAAAGGAGAGAAAGTCATGGTGTGGCCTCCATCCTCCCCTGACCTCAATCCTATTGAGAATCTTTGGAGCATCCTCAAGCAAAAGATCTATAAGGGTGGGAGGCAGTTTACATCCAAACAGCAGCTCTGGGAGGCTATTCTGACATCTTGCAAACATATTCAAGCAGAAACTGTCCAAAAACTCACAAGTTCAATGGATGCAAGACTTGTGAAGCTGCTATCAAATAAGGGGGTCCTATGTTACAATGTAACGTGACCTGTTCAAATGTTTAAAAAGTTAAAATATTTTTAAAAGTTTGAAATAGCTTTTGATTTCAGTAAATATGCTGCAAACACAACAAATGACAATTTTCAGTTCTTTACAACTTATAAAGTGTTTTGAAACTTACTGTGCGAAATAATTTGGAACAGTGCATTGTAAGTTTTTTTATGTTTAAAAAAAATCCTGTTATCATTAGGAGGTTTGTTCAATAAAATTTGAATTGTACTCTTAATAGTTGATAACATGAGAATTATGCTGACTGTTATTTACATCAATTATTTAGGTAAATGAGAAAAATATCATTTGCATAATAAGGCCAAAATTGTAGCATTTCAACGCACGCACGCACCCACGTGCAGGGGCGGACTGACAACTCATGGGGCCCCCGGGCAATAGGGGATCATGGGGCCCATGTCCTTTCCCAAACTCAAAAAAGTCTATGGAAAAGTTACCAGGGGCATCTCATGTGGCCCCCTACTGACCCCGGGCCCTCGGGCAGTGCCCGAGTTTCCAAATGGTCAGTCCGCCCCTGCACCAGTGTAATCCTGAGTGTGGCTCGGGGTTTCCGCTTTTGGTACTGAAAATTAACCCTGGGTTACAACCCCAGATGTAACGACCTTCAATACCGCCTTGCCTTTTGAATCCATCTGGCAGAGCGACTTTCCACTGCTGCCAGAGAAGCAGCAGCTGAGACCCTAACAAGGCCTACCAACTTTTCTCCGTACACCTCCAGATCACCTCCAGGGATATCACGCTGCAGATTGGTCCAGTGCTGCCATACTCACACCCTGGAACATAGCTGGGAATTGTGGCAGGGAGCTCTGAGCATTAAACTATCCAAGACATAGGAGGCCAGGAACTGAAACCCAAGCAGGCTACATAGACTACTGAAAACATTTTTGGGTGGACTGATCCTTTAAGGCCAAGCCAACATGTTTTAAACTATCACAGTTCAAAATCTGACTGCAGCTGGGGGAGGGGCGAAGTTGTAAACCAGACCTTTGAGCTGATGGCTACTGTGTCTCAGCTGGTTGCACATTGCACTTCACATGGCTTTATAAATTGCCACCTGTCTATTTTGCATGCTTTATCTGATGGGAAACAAGATCCTGTTTCTTTGCGAAACACTTCCCGCACTCCGAGCATGAAAACGGTCTTTCTCCGGAGTGACTCCGATGGTGTCGAAGGAGGTTTGACTTTTGCGCAAAGCCCCGCCCACACACCAGGCACGAATAAGGCTTTTCTCCAGTGTGAATCCTTTGGTGCCGGAGGAGATCCGACTTTTGGGAAAAGCACCGGCCGCAAGCAGAGCACATGTATGGCTTGTCCACCGTGTGAAACCGTAGATGCCTGAGGAGGTTGGACTTCTGGGAAAAGCATCGGCCGCACTCGGAGCACGGATAGGTCTTTGTTACGGCAAGCCGGGTGAAACTGGAGCCTTGGCCAAAGCAATTGCTGCATTCCAAGCACGGGGACGTTATGTCAGTTTTTGGTTGGAGGATGTGCTTTGATCCATGGCTACAACAGTTGTTAGATACGTAGCAAGGGAACGGTTCACTGGCTAAATGGACTTTATAAGTCCTTGGATACAAGTGATCTGCAATAGTCCCCCCGAGGGTAGAGAGATTAGATGACAGATCGGCCATTTCAGGTACTGCTTGAAGATTTGGGACAGTGGGATCATCTTCGGAAGGATCTGCTATGATGTCTATTACATTGTTTGGAGAAGCAACAGGAGAATCTTCCATTTCATACCTTCTGTATCGTCCATCTAGAGAAATAAGAAACAAAATCAGATGAGCATACACTAAAACCTCAACTACTGTATTTCTGTATTCTGACGGAGAAATAAATTAAAAAAAAAAAAAAAAAAAAAGGGATTGGCTGGAGAATCTGGGTCTCGTCTGTATTTAGTCTTTATTCCTCACCTGAGTTGATCTCTACAGGAACTTCATCTTCCCTAAAGTGTCCGTTTTCTTCTTCCTCCTCAGATCTGACATCTCTCTGAATCTCTCTGGTGTCTCCGGGGTCTGTGAATAAAGATGAGGGCATAACGTTGTGCAGTATGTGAAGGAGAGGAGCATACAGGGCATAACGTTGGGCAGTATGTGAAGGAGAGGAGCGTAGAGGGCATAACGTTGGGCAGTACGTGAAGAAGAGGAGCGTAGAGGGCATAACGTTTGGCAGTATGTGAAGAAGAGGACCATAGATGGCAAAACGTTGTGCAGTACGTGAAGAAGAGGAGCGTAGAGGGCATAACTTTTGGCAGTATGTGAAGAAGAGGAGCGTAGATGGTATACGTTTTGCAGTATGTGCAGGAGAGGAGCGTAGAGGGCATAACGTTGGGCATCATGTGAAGGAGAGGAGCGTAGATGGCATAACGTTGGGCAGTATGTGAAGGAGAGGAGCGTAGAGGGCATAACGTTGGGCATCATGTGAAGGAGAGGAGCGTAGATGGCATAACGTTGGGCATCATGTGAAGGAGAGGAGCGTAGATGGCATAATGTTGTGCAGTATGTGAAGAAGAGGAATGTAGAGGGCATAACGTTGTGCAGTATGTGAAGGAGAAGAGTGTGGAGGGTATGACGTTGGGGAATATGTGAAGAAGAAGAATGTAGAGGGTATGACATTGGGCATTATGTGAAGAAGATGGATGTAGAGGGCATAATGTTGGGCTGTATATAAAGGAGAGGAGTGTAGAGGGTATAATGTTTGGTAGTATGTGAAGGAGAAGAGTGTGGAGGATGACTGCAGGCAGTATGTGCAGGAGTGGAGTGTGGAGGGTATAACGTTGGGTAGTATGTGAAAAAGAGGAATGTAGAGGGTATAATGTTGGGCAGTATGTAAAGGAGAGGAGTGTAGAGCGTATACTGTTGGGCAGTATGTGTAGGATAGGAGTGTGGAGGATGACTGTAGGCAATGTGCGCAGTACAGGAGTGTGGGAGGGTATGCCGTTGGGTAGTATATGAAAGAGAGGAGTGTGGAAGATGATTGCAGGCAGTATGTGCAGGGTATAACGTTGGGCAGTATATGAAGAAGAGGAGTGTGGAGGATGACTGCAGGCACTATGTGCAGTAGAGGAATGTGGAGGGTATACTGTTGGGCAGTATTTGTAGTAGAGGAGTGTGGAGGATGACTGCAGGCGGTATGTGCAGTAGAGGAGTGTGGAGGATGACTGCAGGTGGTATGTGCAGTAGAGGAGTGTGGAGGATGACTGCAGGCGGTATGTGCAGTAGAGGAGTGTGGAGGATGACTGCAGGCGGTATGTGCAGTAGAGGAGTGTGGAGGATGACTGCAGGCGGTATATGTGCAGTAGAGGAGTGTGGAGGATGACTGCAGGCGGTATGTGCAGTAGAGGGGTGTGGAGGATGACTGCAGGCGGTATGTGCAGCAGAGGGGGGTGTGGAGGATGACTGTAGGCGTTATGTGAAGCAGAGGAGTGTGGAGGATGACTGTAGGCAGTATGTGAAGGAGAGGAGTGTGGAGGATGACTGTAGGCAGTATATGAAGGAGAGGAGTGTGCAGGATGACTGCAGGCAGTATATGAAGGAGAGGAGTGTGGATGATGACTGCAGGCAGTATGAGAAGGAGAGGAGTGAGGAGGATGACTGCAGGCAGTATGTGAAGGAGAGGAGTGTGGAGGATGACTGTAGGCAGTATGTAAAGGAGAGGAGTGTGGAGGATGACTGCAGGTAGTATGTGCAGTAGAGGAGTGTGGCGGATGACTGCAGATAGTATGTGCAGTAGAAGAGTGTGGAGGATGACTGCAGGTAGTATGTGCAATAGAGGAGTGTGGAGGATGACTGCAGGCAGTATGTACAATAGAGGAGTGTGGAGGATGACTGCAGGCGGTATGTGCAGTAGAGGAGTGTTAAGGATGACTGCAGGCGGTATGTGCAGTAGAGGAGTGTGGAGGATGACTGCAGGTAATATGTGCAGTAGAGGAGTGTGGAGGATGACTGCAGGTAGTATGTGCAGTAGAGGAGTGTGAAGGATGACTGCAGGTAGTATGTGCAGTAGAGGAGTGTGGAGGATGACTGCAGGTAGTATGTGCAGTAGAGGAGTGTGGAGGATGACTGCAGGTAGTATGTGCAGTAGAGGAGTGTGGAGGATGACTGCAGGTAGTATGTGCAGTAGAGGAGTGTGGAGGGATGATGCTGCAGGTAGTATGTGCAGTAGAGGAGTGTGGGGGATGACTGCAGGTAGTATGTGCAGTAGAGGAGTGTGGGGGATGACTGCAGGTAGTATGTGCAGTAGAGGAGTGTGGGGGATGACTGCAGGCAGTATGTGCAGTAGAGGAGTGTGGAGGATGACTGCAGGCAGTATGTGTGCAGTAGAGGAGTGTGGAGGATGACTGCAGGTAGTATGTGCAGTAGAGGAGTGTGGAGGATGACTGCAGGCAGTATGTGCAGTAGAGGAGTGTGGAGGATGACTGCAGGCAGTATGCGCAGTAGAGGAGTGTGGAGGATGACTGCAGGCAGTATGTGAAGGAGAGGAGTGTGGAGGATGACTGCAGGCAGTATGTGCAATAGAGGAGTGTGGAGGGGGTGCAGTCTAAGTGGCCTGGAGGCAGATTCCCCCATGTGAATGTGCCACATAGCTCTAGTCCCTGGTTCACAATGAATGCAACATTGAAATAGTGCTTCTTCACCTGAGGCAGCACAATTTAAAAGCTGTGGACCGGTGCGATTTCAGGAGCGACTTGCCTGACATCTGTGCGACTTCATGCACAGATGTCAATGCAAGTCACACCTGAAATCGGCAAAAATAGTGCAGGAACTATTTTTTCAAAATCAGCGCTCATCCAGCAGAGTCGGAGTCGCACCCATTTGAACAGTTCCGATGCCAACAATAGGGTGCGACTTCTCATGTGATTTGGAACTGTAAAATCACATGACAAGTTACACCGGTGTGAACCAGGACTAAGGCTACAGTATATAGGATCACACACCTGTGCTGATCTCTGGAAGGATTTCCTCCACCTTACATGGATTATCACCCATCAGCTCTTCTGATTCCTCCAACATTTCAGCCTTAATAACAATTATGTCTTCAACCTTGGTGAGAGACGAAGCAATCTGAGTAACACAGTCATTACCAATGGCTAGTCTATGAACTGAAAATATACAAGAGATAATGTATATACAGTAGATATATCAAATACATAATTCCATGGTATATATCGAGTCCTCTAAATATAACTACCTGATCCTCCAGAGGGACCTTGCGATGTTCCTGAGGGATCTCCTGATGTTCCTGTGTGGAGTCCCGGGAATACAGAGGACGGGGACATCTCTCTGGTGGGTTCCCATTACTGGATCCATCTGTAGGAAACACACACACTGACTGAATACATGGTTTCTATGTCTTTATATCAGAGGATGTGTGTATCTAGGTGGATCCTCAATACAAGAAATGAAAGTCTCCTCTTACCTGGTGATGTGAGGGGCGGTCGGTTCTTCATCATGAGGTCCTTGTAGAGATCCTTGTGTCCTTCTATATACTCCCACTCCTCCATGGAGAAATAGACAGTGACATCCTGACACCTTATAGGAACCTGACACACACAATGATACAGTCACCATCCAGACACATCCCTTGTCTGTTACTGGATAATGTCCCAGAATTCCCGGCACCGCTCACCTCTCCAGTCAGCAGCTCAATGATCTTCTGGGTGACTGTTAGGATCTTTGCTTCATTTCTCTCTGGTGTCAGGGAGGGCGATGGAGGCTTTATCATGACACTCTGGCTTCTGTTCCATCCTCCAGGCATACCAGGATAGTTGCTGGGTGTCATATAATCACCAGATGTCTTCTTCACCAATGTGTAATCCTGTGTATCAAAAGGGTAGTTTGAAATCAGCAGTTCATTTAAAATACCAATATTCAAGTGTGGCTTTGATACCCTCCCAGAATCCTCCTCACCTCTCCAGTCAGGTCTGTGTTTTATTAATAGAGATAAGAGTGATGTCATGTGACCTCCCAAAATCCTCCTCACCTCCCCGGTCAGGTCTGTGTTTTATTAATAGAGATAATAGTGATGTCATGTGACCTCTCAGAATCCTCCTCACCTCTCCGGTCAGGTCTGTGTTTTATTAATAGAGATAATAGTGATGTCATGTGACCTCCCAGAATCCTCACCTCTCCGGTCTGTGTTTTATTAATAAAGATAAGAGTGATGTCATGTGACCTCCCAGAATCCTCCTCACCTCTCCAGTCAGGTCTGTGTTTTATTAATAGAGATAAGAGTGATGTCATGTGACCTCCCAGAATCTCCTCCTCACCTCTTTGGTCAGGTCTGTGTTTTATGTCATGTGACCTCCCAGAATCCTCCTCACCTCTCCGATTAGCAGGTAGATGATCTCCAGGGTGAGGTTTAAT